TGAGGTCACTTGTTCCGATGTGCCTGACGTTGCCTGATTATCTTAAGAAGGAAAAAAAACCTCTGCTTATGAGTCCAACACACAGAGAAAAAAGAATCGTCACTATTAAAAGGCATACGGTGGATTCCAGGTCATATTTACCTTTTTAATCGTGTTTTAATGTTATTTTTGCAGTAACAGGAGAAAATAAGGGGGAAAACGGGAAATAAGGTTGAAACACAACATTAAAAAATCCGAGACGTTTCGATTCAAATTGGGTCATTTTCAGTCGGAAAATAAATTAAAAATTAAAAATTATCGATGAAAAAACCTGAGACCAACATGTTGGTGGCCGAGTTGGTTGTTTTTCTTGGATCTCGGCCACCAAAATGTAGTTCTCAGGTTTTTTCATCGATAATTTTTAATTTTTACTTTATTACCCGACTGAAAATGACTCAGTTTTGAGTCGAAACGCAGTGGGTTTTTATTGTTGTATCATAGCCTTGTTTCCCTTTTCCCCCCTTGATTTGCTCCTGTTACCATTGCCTCGGGTTGCTTCGTAAAAATTTTTTTAAAATATAAGCGCCAAGCGACGTTTAAAAATTTCCGTCGTCATTTTATTTTTTACAGGGAAATTGTTCAGCAAAGCTGTCCAAAAATTCCACTGAATTTTCTATGTGCTGCCGATAAAATTCAGTGAAATTTTCAAACAGATTCAACTAATTTCTCTGTTTAAAAAAAAAAAAAAAAAAAATTTACAGGGGAAATTTCTAACCGTCACATGGCGCTTGTGATACTTTGGTCGGAAGGTGACGAAATTACGAATAGTAAACGTTCTTCAACGTGTTTTTGTTGATTTTAATTTCATTCGTGCAAATCGGCAACGTGATTCATCTAGAGATTGGTAACGTTGAAGGAGCGCTTGCTTAAAAAAGGCAATCTAAACCAACAAAAACTGGTAAGAATCGCACTCGAAAACAGTCCGCCCTCCCGGGTGCCGGGTTTCTAAGGTCGGGACCTTTCGATAGACCGGCCGGAGCGGCGCGGCTCGGCGCACCGGCCCAAAGGGCGCAACCGCACAAAGGATATCGTTATATCTAACGTGTCTCGCTCCGGTGACTTTTTAAGATGCCCCTTAAAACGCACAATGGAAGTTGCGCATCCGGGTTATCAGTTTGAAAGCTGATCGTCTGCCACATAATAGCTACATTGGCTCTTCCCAACAGCATCGGCAGATTAGAGACGGAATGAATATTCCATGGACACCTTGCCAAATAAGTGTCCAAGCAACGGAATTAGGTGATTAGACCAATTATTTTAACGAGTACATTTTTAAAAGCACCGGCACACTGGAAAAAAAAGCACATTGGATCTAAAGTCCAGCCTCTAAAAACATCGACAAGAAAAAATACTCTTGATTCAATCAGAATCTAGCTTAAATCAAGAACCAAGCCTCTTAATTTAAGCGGATTTCGTTTTGATTCAAGCAAAAATTCGATTGAATCAAGAGTATTTTTTCTTGTCAATGTTTTCAAGAGTCTGGAATCTAGATCCAATGTGCTTTTCCAGTGCACCGATAAATTTAGGAGACGATCATGATTTTAGGGCCCCTCCAAGGAGGTCTAGGGGATAGGATAGGATTTTTAGAAGGAGAAGGGGGTCCGGGGGTCCTCCCCTGGAAAATTTCCGAACATTAGGTATCTAAGGAAATTAATTTTTTGGTGCTTCCATGTTAAAGTATCTCATTTTACTCCGATTACTCTTGGGGATCTAATGGGAAGAAATATCGTCATTGTCCTTCGATTGCCCCTTACAAATAGGAGAAGTTTTATTTTCCCTGTTCTACAGTCAAAAAGAGTTACCACACTTAGTACACACATCTTTTCCAGCACTTAAACCGACATCACCAACACCACCGACATCACCAATAATTGCACCGACATCATCAATAATTGTTCAAGAAAAAGAAAAAAAAAGTCAAAGAAAAACTTCTTGGAACGACCGCATTCCTTCTTCCCTTACTTGCGCCGCCACTGTTTAAATTTTCAGCTTTGTCCGCAGGGGCTTGGTACCCTGTGTATGCCGCGGAATTTGCCTCATTTTGAGACTGTACGGCCCCTCTCCCGAATTTTCCGAGATCTCGAAGGACCATTGACAATTTTGATAATTACAATTTTGATCTCAGGGGCCCTTTCATTCTTCCATCGGCCCCATTTAAATATTTGAATACTATAATTATGAGGTCTTAAGGGCTCCAGTGTCGCTTTTGAGGCCTACACATCAGGACCCTATAAATACTACTAGATTTTCAATTTCAATTAATCAGGGACCCAAATTCCTTATCAGCAAGCCCTGCATCACTCGTGGCATTGGAGGGTTAATATCATTCACATTGTCTCTCATTCTCATTTTTTTTCGATCAGTTCCCCTTCAATATCTTGATAGGCAATGTGAGCGACTTGGGAGCTGTAATAGTTGCTCGCAGCATTTTGGTCACGTTCACTCGGTTTATTCATAGCCGTAGCTGTTTAATACGTTCGTATTTCCCGCAATTGCCTTTTTTTTTACTTACTCTACCACAATGATTCTACGTTACCTGCTACCTGTGCAGCACAGATTGCAATAAATTGCAAAGAATCGGGTTATTTTTTTATGAATCAGATCTTTCTCAGTACGAGCTTTTGAACTGTGTGGTGTCGGTAAAGCAAAATATAACTGGATGCGTTGCGCATTGTTTTGGACTTTGAGTGATGATCTCGGATCTCTAGAAGCCTTTTTACACATTATTTGAAAATCGTCCGTGCGTAATCTCGCGGTTGTAAAATAAACATACATTTTTTCAATGAAGGTTGTAGGTTTAATTTCTGTATTTTTAGATAGGTCAGTTGGATTCTTAAAGGCACGAGTAGAAGTTGAAAAAAAAAAAAATTATACTGGGTTTGAGAAGAGTCGAAACGTGTGTGCTCAAGTGAGGGTGAACCTTATGCGCGGTCTTGATCGTGATACGCAAGGTCGTTCAATATACGCATTTCTTACTTACGATATCAATCTCAAGTTTTGAAAAAATGCATGCAAAATTAACTTATTTCGGTATTTTTCCAAACCTGTTATTTAACTACTGTGTAATACAATTTTCCGTCTCGGATCATAGCTTTTAGCCAAAGAGCTTAAAAAGCCACTGAAAAAGTACGGAAAGTCTAACGGCTGAAGAAGGGGAGGTCGGGCATTGTCTTCGTTCATTATCGGGGTGTATCTAGGCAAAACGCGAACGGGGGTAAAATGAGTGATCAGAGCATGCAGCTGGCGTGTGTGTATTTACATGGACCAGCAAACTACTACTCCTTTCATTGAAAAATCAACGCACACATTCGCATCATCCGTGAATGTGTGAGTCGCCGAGATTGAGTCAGGCGTCGTCGAGGGTGGAAGTATGACATTGTTGCCGGATGGTTAATTTGAAATATCAGACATTAAATCCAGAAGAAATTCTAGATCCAGAACTAAGTCCATTCATGCCCGTTTCTTTATTTACGGCCGTAAGAGCATCATGAAGCCTAAATGCTCGTTGACCAATCAAAAAGCTGTGTACAGTTTTCCTGTAGTAAAAAGATACGAGTGGCCATACTCTGTCAATAAAGGTACTCTTCTAACTATTGATGTCGTCGTTGCAGGACTTACGATTAGCCTAACATTTTATCATGAATTGGCAGCGGGGCATTGTACAGGGTAGCCGCACAGGGGTGTGGAACCTCGTTGCGCTCGCACCCCTCCGAAGTTGAGGAGCATTTAACAGTTACCCAAGGTGGCCTTTGTTCTCGTTGTGACAATTCTAATGAAACGCTATTTATAATCGACGCGGTGCATTGTGCATTGTGCCGCTCCGGAGCTTTTAAGTTGCCTTTCCGCCTCGTTAGGGCACCGGCCTCAGCCAGTTACTCCCGGGCCCGGCTCGCCTTTTAATGAGCCACCGGTAAATGTTTATGAATCGATTAGTCACCCTTGTTATCCCGGCCGCCGAATAACCACGTGGCTACTTGCCGTCACTTGATTCCATTGTTTATCTTTCAAAATTAAGTTTCCTGGTTTTCCGAACTCCGGGAGCATCTTTTTTTTTTTCGGAGTTAGTACGCATCAGTGGCGTGGCAAGCTTTGCGATGTATCTGTCGCAGGCAATTGGCAATAGCCGGCAATTTACTAGCCGGTGGTGAATAAATATAGAAAATCATAAAATTCAAAAATGAAAGAACAAGATTAGAGTGCTGATTATGTTGCCTGTAATGTGAATAGACACTTTTCCATCCTTAAAAACATGGCAGGAATATATGCACACACTCAGAAGAGCGTGTTGTGAACTCCGTGACATTAGTTGGGTTGAGATCGGACTGACAACTAAGCTAACATCGTGACAAAGCGTAGAGTATCACAAAAAATGAAGGCACTTTAAGCCTAGCTCACACTTTTAAAGACCATTACCCTTAAAAATTGCATTCTGCCGATGCGCATTATTGCGTTTTATTGAAACAACGGGTGAGCAGCTTGCAGATTGCCGGCGTTTGCTTATTGCCTGCGACATATCGATTGATCTGCCATTTAAACCCATGGAAAAGGATCGAGAATCAGGGTGTCCACATCGAAAACCTTTAATAATCGATTCTTTAACATAGCTTCAAATGCGAAAATATCGATAGTCAATCGTTCACGCCTCGTCACTGATACGCATAGCTAGAGAAATTTTATGGAATCAGCGTGGCCCCCACTTTTCCAGGGGTTTTGGTCCTCCGAGTACATGGGGGGGGGGTGGTTTTAGGGGGTCTTTCTCGGATAGTATTGGAAAATTGGCATCTCCTAGGGGCCAGCCATTATTACGCAGGGCACCTGGGTGAAGGGGGTCAAGAAATGGCCTACGAGAGACAAAACATCGGCTTGAATAGGGAAAGCATCAGCTTTGAAAATGAATTCCTCCAAAATAGTGTCAAAAATTGATCTTTTTCCTATTTTGTCCTTTTCTGTTTGCAGATTCGCATTCCATATTGAAAATCACCCAGAAAATTCGTCTCCTAAAACAGAATTGCACTCGTGTACGAGTTCCGCAAGTTCGACGTGGATGGTCACTCTGTCCATCCTAAGTTTCCTAAGTTCTGCGAAATCCTCAACGATCGCGGCTCGGAGCAAAGGATTGAACCTGTCATCAGACAGACGCTAGACGGTAGGTGACGTACATAGGTGGATCCAGAAACTTCGATCGGGAGGGGGGGGGGGGGGGGGGCTGAGGGAGGTACGGGGAACACTTTTAATGCATCTAATTTGCAATGGCGACCTGATCAGTTCGTCGAAACTTGTTCCTTGTTTCACTTACTTCACTGTTTGTTAAGGATTGTAGAAAATGTTCCATTACTTAATTTCAACCCAAACCTTTCCATCCTTCAACATCCCGACCCTTCCCGCGACTAACTTTCAAGTATACCTGATGACGATTCGATGAACGAACATCTTCCAAATATATTTTCCCCACCTGTTTTCTTTCGTTAGAAGAAAATGTTCTGAGCACGCAGGAGGCAAGTGAACACCCCGCACCCTGAAAATAACGCCCCTAAGCTCTTACCGCCCCACGCAGCCGCTGAAAAACTCCATCAACCCCCTTGCTTTTGAGTGGGCTCTTGTTTAGTTTTAATCAAGAGGCAGACACCGATTTGCTGCTCGTTGAAATCATCCAGGCGAATTTTTCTGCGATCTGCGCGATTCTATTTATTTCCATCCCTTGGAGAGTCGCGACCCTCGAGCGTCAAACTTGAGCGACGTTGTCATTTCGCTTGAAATCGTCAATTCATCCGCAAGCACTTTAGTATGATTCGTGAGGAAAACTAGCAATCTGGCGCTGAAGTCGAGATGAACAATGACTGAGCTGGGACGGACCTCCCATGGGGGACGCAACTTTGCCAAGCTGCTAAGACCAAAAGGGGATCGTCATTGTCGGACCGAGCAAGAAATAACTATCTCGGCGAAATAATCATTGAAATTAATGAGTAAAGCGTTTTGTAATACGGACCTCAGAGAGTTGTCCCTCATAGTGTGTATTTCCGTCGATTCAATAGAATCAAACGAGCTTGGTCATTAAATCTCAAGCTCTGGTGCTGACCATAGTTTTTCTGCGATTGTCAAAAATGTTCTCGAACAATCCCAAGTTAATGATCGACTATTCTCGCTGTTGTTATCTTTTCAATTACATCGATTCAGAACTGACAAGAGATTTTAATATCTTGTCCATTTGAAGGGGAGTGACATTACTTTAAGCCACAAGATTCTATACGTAAGAGGCTAGGGTTAAAAAACTATATAGATATGAATGTTTCAATCTATGCTGTTATTAACTGATCATATAAATTGATGATTTTAATGTAAATTGTTTCAGATGTGAAGTCTTCGTCCCACGCAGACCTAAGCGTTGAAGTTTTAGAATAAGATAGTCTTCCACACCTAGCCCAATTTTAGGTACTCGGCAAGCCTTTAATTTTAGTAAGATATAACGACATTTTAAGAAGTCGAATTGATTAAATAAAAATCGTTAAGTGCTTCAAATAAAATACCTAAGGCTAAATAAGTTTATTGTTTAAGGTAAATCCATGGCGAGAATACATCGAGATATTAAACTAATATTCAAATACTATTTTCACTTTGCATTTTTTAATGAAGTTTAACTTTCAAGATATCTTTTTTGTAAAATATATTTCAAAATTTAAAATATCTGATCGCGAGAAATAACAGACTTCGATTCTTTTTGACTGAATTAATGAAATATTTCTCGCTCGGATGCTCTCAGCTTCATTTTAGGGGTTGCAAGATAGATTTTTGGAGAAGGAACAAATTACCTAATAGTGCTTCTTGGCCTCTAATGAGTCCCATATTTTCCAAAAATGGGACATTTAATGTAAAATACCCTAGACGTATCCAGTAAAATGCAAAATCAAAATACAGGAAGGTAACGAAAGAACGTGTCTCTATTTTTGAATTTTTTTATTGAATTTTTGAATAATAATGTCAACCACTCAAATTAAAAAGTCGAACAAATAGAACTAAACATTGATTTTTTAGTTGATTAAAAATATCCAATTATTTTCCTTAAATCCGACAACTTTCCTAATGATGTCCACGGTCTCATCGGCATAAGGCTATTTACCTACAGGGACATTAATTGAGGCACTTGCGCTTCTTGGGTCGGGTGAATGAGGATTACGGACGATAAATTATAAGCTTCATCTGATATACTCAGGCTAATAAATCCGCACCTAATTTGGATCCTTTGATGGACGTCCGCCACGACACGACTCTTTTGCATCCCATTCTCCAACATTAAGGACACTCCGTATCCAGGATCCAGGTGAAGAAGTTCAAGAGGGACCTGCGGCAAACTTAACCTTAATTTCGAATTGGAGACTTTGATCATCGTTTCCGAGAGTAGGATAATAATCTAACAAGGAGGTAAAACGGAGGTGTTGTTAACTGTCCTGCTGAGTGAAGCAAGATGCCTTTGATTGAAACGATGAAACAACTTCAACTTTCAAACATTTTTGGAGTAGTACCTCTAATTAGAATTAAACATTTTAATTTAAAATCTGGGCACTATACATTTATTTAGGTGTTTTTTACTTACATAACTTAAAAGTTTTTTTCGGCCCACCCCGAGCCATCATCAGAGCCTCAGAACTTCGCCACAAAAAATGATAATAACTATCTGGGCCGGATTAAGGGGATGGCAAATTTTGCAATCTTTTTGAATGTAGGTATCAAAAAAAGAGAGGAAAAATCGGATTCAGAAAAAGAAATTATCAATGAGAAAAGGGGACAAAATCTCTCATTTCCTGAGAGTAAAAGTATAGTAATTTCCAATTTTGTCGTCTTTCGGTGATACAAGAGACAACGCCTTTATTTAGTAGAGTTACGAGAGAAACCAAACACGCAATTTGACCTGGAACGGAGCGGCGCGGCGGCGGTCGGCATGAAACGCATAGCGCCTACAAGACTGCACGAATACTTCACGCATTGCGTCAAACACACTGCGGTCAGCTTGAAACGCATAGCGCCTACAAGACTGCATGAATACTTCATGCATTGCGCCAAACAGTGTGGTCAGCAGCGGTCGGCGTGAAACGCATAGCGCCTACAAGACTGCATGAATACTTCACGCATTGCTCCAATACAGTGCGGTCCGCGCGGCGGTGGAGGAAGGTAAAATTATTAACCACATTTATGTTTGTTCTTTCATAATTTGTTCGTTCGTTTTTTTTCTTTTTTAATGGAAGGCCTCGTCCAAACAGGGATGGTTTTACGGAACTGAACTGAACTTTTGTCAGTGTTGACACGGCTTTCACAAAAAATGTGCCCAACACAAGTAAACGCGTCTCGTACACCCCTCCCCCTCCCCCACCGATGGTTCATTTGATGGTTTTTATAGATCGTATTCGATAGATCACACAGGTGAGATTTTATTAGTATCGATTGATTCAATATGTAACCACAGCCTCATAAGTCAATTTAGAAATCCGAGGTAGCGGGTCTTGTCTTATGTGATCGAATTTTTATTCTCTCGAGTACCAAATGGCAATGAAAAGTGACATTGTTAGGAATTTTCTCATTTAAGCTCTCTTCAGCTTTTTCAAATTAAATCCTAAAATTTTTGTTTGAGGTTATGTTCTATTGTTTTGAACCAAACGATACATCGAACCACTGTCGAATACGATCTATAGATGTTTCAAAACGAATGAGAAGGGGGCGGAAAAATACAGGCGGCCCATGGGCGGCAAGAAGGTAAATCCGGCCCTTATAAATATGAACTACTACAACTTCTTTTTAACTTCAACTTTGGTTCAATTACATGACGTTTTGTGGTCTCATCCTGCGTTTCTCTTCGTTTTTTACACGTCAATTTTTAAATTTTTTCAATATTTTTAGAAAAATTAAGTTCTCTCAAACGCGTAACACTTTTTACATTATGGAACATTTTTGAGGTGAGCAATAATTTTTCCTCTTTATATTGTGCTCTGTATCAGCACGCACACAGCACACAGCACGCAGGCTGCACATTAAAGCTGCATCATTTTCTGTAGGACGTCAAAGGAAAAATACTAAGGGTTAGTTTCAATATTGTCAATTTTTGCAAAAATGACTGTATAAATATTTAACCTTTGGCGAAAAAACACACAAATAGTAAAAACAAAAATCATGAATGTGAACAAACGCGTAAACGTATAATATCGAGATTAAAGACTAAACCCTATTGATAGCACTTTTTTAATCGTTTTAATTCGAAGGGATTCGCTGGCTTAACTCCCTTTTTTTAAATTCGTATTTTAAAGCGTTTAACCTTTCAGATGACCGCGAACAAAGGCCCCGCCGACTCCAGAAAGCCCTTTAACAGGTACGCCACCGTTGCCAATCCGGGTGTGATAAACTCACCTACCCCTCGTTCAACCCCCGAAAATCCGATGAATAATCACTCGTTGTAGCATCAATCATCTCGCAGTTGCCAAATTGTGGAAAACTGGAAATAACCTCGTTCGCTATCGAATCCAAAGTTGGACTTTGGGATTGTCACCAGTTGGCACTGGCGAGGTGCAATTTCGGACGGGGTCATGGGGGTCTTTAATGTGCCGAGGGGTAGGGTGGGGTGGGGTACGTAGGAGAAGGGACAAGGGCCGGAGGCGACACTCTGTAAATGCACCCATTGTCCCGGTGATCCCGATGACAATCCCTGCGTTTCGGTTTGAGGGATGGCGCACGGCTCGGCGGGGACCAGCCGACCGGCACGCTTAGGTGCACCTGGTCAATACGACCACTCAACTTCTGAAACGGTGTAAAATCACCTTAATGTATCGCCGTTGCCAATTCTGTTTTGAGTAGATCCGCACGGAAAATATGATATTGCTGATTTAACAATTTTGTAGTTAAAACAAGTTCCCATCATGTTTTAATGTAGATTTTACAATTAAAATGGTAATTTAACCACCCCCGTGGTTTAATTAGCTTTCCGCCATTGTAAAATTTACATTTGTAACATGTTGGACATATTTTTTCAACAATTTAATTGTTACTCCAGCAATCCATTTTTCCCCGTGCGGTGGCTATGTTATTGGCTTTCGCTATGCAGAATGCAATGTCATGTTTGACCTCAGACAAAGGTTTAAAAAGGTTCGCCATCTCAAGATAGATAGTATTTGCAGTTTTGTATAGAATACGTGAGAACAATCTTATTTGAGTCACATATTATCACGCAGTATGTTTATCTCAATTTATATAATTGTGTACAATAATTAAATAGATAAATAAATAAATAAATAAACTAAAATAACCATGTGATTGATATTGCTAATACGGCTGAATTTTATTTCTATGACTAAATGTTCAGTATTGAATGAGTCAGCCGTCCTGCTCCCATCATAAAACAGCTAATAAGGCAACAATGCCGCCAGGATGAAGACCCTATTTGGGACAGGGGCGCAGTGCCCGTTTCACCTATACTCAAAACATTTTGAACCACCTCTTGTTGACAAACACCCTTTGCTCTGTCTGCACCCCAAACAATAAGAGGAGTTTGTTTTCTGCACATTCAAGTTTTGTCAACCGATTTGCATTATCCCTTAATTTTTTTGCTCGTTTAAAATCGAATACACTCCGTTAGACGAAAGGTCAAGTAGTTTTTTTCCCTTTTTTATATATTTTACAAAAAACTTGCGTCCTTAAACACGTCAAAACTTGGGCAACGAATAAAAGAGAGGAGACTAGGGATAAAATTACTAGAGTGGTGTGAAATTGACACTCTCAAGTGCGACTGGATTAGTTTCCTATAGATTAAGATGGTTATCGATATAGGTTAAAAATAGTGGCGAAACCGTTATCGTTGTTTGAAGGTTTGGGACGAAAAATTAGTTTTCAAAGTATCGCATGACAATCGATACCTTTTAGATAGATTTTAGTTTTGCCGGTGCTTTTTTGGTGGAAACTGGAAGGTAAACAATGTTTAAACGAGGTAATACCGATAGGTTTAATATCCTGATTATAAGAGTTAGGATTATGGGTGCGGGTGGCCTGGTCTAGTCGCCTCCCCTGTCAGTCGCTAGCTGCTCCAGGGGGGGGGGGGGGGAGTTGTTTGGATTTTTGGCGGCCCGTTCCTGACACATGGGGACAGTACTTCTTGCAATTCGGTTTTTCCCCGTTTTCGAAGCAAAAAAGAAAGAAAGGGAGAAAAAAATCGCAGGGTGTCACAGGTACCAATGTGGGTCATTATGACTGAAGTTTAAAAGTATAACTCCATTTTCATGAAAAAATGTTAATCAATTTACTTCAACCGTCATTACTAAGTCATTCATCAATAAGTCCGTAATAATTGGCATTTTCCTATAAGAAAGAGGAAACGTTACAAAGGGACACCTCTTTCATATGAAATAAATGAAGATAAACCTAGATTTTTTATAGAATAAACTGTATGTGATATTGTAAACATTTTAATTAAAATTTAATGTACCAAAGGAAGCGATTTGGGTTTTGATGGAAAGACAGATGGAAGCCGGTAATCTCGACTACCCACAATGGAGACGGGGATTCCATAAGTTTGATCGAAAGATTCGTCGCAAAGTCCATTTTTTTGGATCGTCCATTTCGCAGCCCAGCAAA